TGTGAGATCCCTAAAAGGAAGGAAGAAGCTTTGCTGCTTTAAAAGTCATCATGCTTTGCATAGTTTTGCTACTTGTATCTCAACGCAGAGAAAATAGCCACAGAGATTTTACTGGACCGTTATCTATGTCACCAGGAATGAGCCACTGGTGTGGTTAATTCTCCATCCCATTCATGCTAAAGGACTTATTAAGAGGAGAACAACTATTCCATAATTATTTTCATGTCTTAGAAGATAAAAGTACTTTACGTCCTGAGCTCACCGGCTTCATTTTTCCTCTTGTCAGTTTTGTCTAATTGCCTTTCATACATGAAACGTCATGAATCATGTCATGTGTTAACAGAAGAAAGTAGAAAGTTGTCTCAGATGCATGAGTCCAATCTTTTAATGGCATGAAATGTAAGTCATATATTTGACAAGTATTCACTGAAATAATGAATTAGATACAGTATTCCTCTCTAAAGAGGACATCTTGGGTGAACCTAGTAGACGCAAAACTAATAGACACAAGTTAATCATTGCATTATCAGTTTTTAACAGAGAGCCATGCTGCACATCAAGTAGTGAATTATAAGCATATATAGAGTAACTTCAGCATACTGTGCTATGCCCATCATTGCTGGTTAAACAGGACTCAACAGGAATAACCCGTTTCTTGGTTCCTTGCAGTTTACGTGGATAATGTGGATAGGTAGAGAGTAAATAAGCAATTACAACAGGATGTTGAAAATGTTATTGTGTAATACAATAAATAGGGATCTAACAACAATAGTTTAGAATTAAGCAAGCTATTGAGTGAGAAGCAAAGAATTCTTGGGAAAGTTTATGAAAATTTAAACTGGGGGGATGAATCGAATTTAAGTGGGCAACAGAAACAATAATATATAAGATACCTCATAAGCAAGAGAGTTAGAGTAGATTTGTTAGTCATATTCAAAAGCATCAAAGTGTCTCATGTGAGGTTACGGAACAAGAGAGGAACAGACCGAGTCGAAGAGGTATTTATTTGAGCTACATGATGGAGTTTGGATAATATTTGGAGCCTACAAGTTGTTCATATGAAAGTTTGATTGAAAATATTCTGGCTTCCTGACAGAGATTATAGTTGAAAGAGACGGAGCAGAGACTGGGGCACTTGGATTCTTCCAGGCAACATTCAGGAGACTGAGCACCAAAGAAGTGAAGTGGAGTTAGAGGCTCTTGGGGAGATGTTTCTACCATGAGCATCATTTGAATGTGGGGAAAGAGAGGCATAGAGACGCCTTTCTTGTTGAGGGCAAGAGGAGATAGGGTGGGAGGTTCATGGAGGGAAGGGGGTTTAGAGTAGAGGATTCATGGGGGAGAGACCCAGAAGGGGGATGACATTTGAAATGTAAATAAGTAAAATAATTAATAAAAAAGAGAAAGTTAGCCCTTGGCACATGTATAACAGAGGTCTGCATTGTCTGGCCTCAGTAGGAGAAGATTCACTTAATCCTGAGGCCTGGTGGTGGTAGTGGGCACCCTCTTGGAGGCAAGACGAAGGAGGAATGGGATAAGAAACTGTGGGAGGGGTCATTGGGAGAGGAGCAATGACTGGAATGTAAATAAATAAAGTAATTAAAATTAAAAAGTTATCACTGTAATGTGCTGCCAAAAGGAGCTGATGCAGAAAGGCAAAAGGCTCAGTATTCAATGGGACTCTCATTATGCCTGTAGCACATCTTGGATGCTGGGTTGGGCAGGCAGTTTTACATATGCATAGCTAGTATGTGATTTGGATATGGGTTACAGTCTCTGAAGTCCAGTCTTTGATTTGTTAATTGATGGTGAAGTGTTAATTGAATGAGATAAAATATATAGGAACTCACAGTGTTCTAGAAACATGGCAAAAATGTTTCATGCGTGTTTTACTTGGCATCATTACCAATGACATGTTTCATTCTTTAAGCCAATCTTCCAACTTACAGCATGAAATTGTCAAAAAATATTAAAAGAGATAATGCCTATAGGATTTTTCAGGGCATCCTAGGAATTCTTTACTGTTCCAATGTTGTATGTATTCTTATAAAAGTAACTGCATGTAGTGTGTTCTTATGATATTCATCTTATAGATGAGAAAATAGGCAAAAAGAGCTTAGATAAGGTGGCTTGTCCACAACTCACTTGTCATATAGAAAGTGTGTGTTGGATTTGATTCCAGACTTTCAGATTCCCATTCTTCTTCATTAAGTTCCCATGTCATGACACTTCTCTTCATTAGTACATATATAAAGTTATATGCTTATTGGCTATATGTTTGTCATCCATATTATCCACCATGTTCCTTTCCATAGTCAAGTGGTTCTCTTTGTTTGCTATTTCCAATAGCTATACATCTGAAGTACCTAATGTGGAATGCCCACAACTCTTTATACTAAAGCATTCAACTTTATACAGTAATGTCAAATCTATTTCTGGTTGATGTTCATATACCTGGAGGTCAACATTGATTTCTATTTTAGATTCATATGTGTGAGCATCTCCATATTCATTGCCTTGTAGGTTTTAAAGAAACACAAGATTGTGTTAATTACATACAGACATTTGAACATATCTTGCAAAATGGTAGTTGTAGCATGACTTCTCCAGGGTAGAAGATAGACATAAGCTTTTCGAACAACTAACACCTAGGGTTTTGCAGTTGTTCTTAGTAAGCTTTGCCCTGCTGACATCTCCTCAGCATGTATGAAGTTGTGAAGTTGCTTGATTCATGCTAAGTGCTTTACATATTTTATGAAATGAATAAATGGATTATTAACTATTAGAACAGAACAGGATTCACTGCCCTTTGGATTTTTTTTTTTTTTTGTAATTCTGCTAGGCAATGACATTTTGTTCATTTAAGAAATGATCATGTTAGTGCAAGAAAAAGAATAACATAACAAGCTTTTTTGGGAAAAATATTTAACATATGTAGAAATTCATTGCATCTGAGGACTGTGTCTAAAGAGACCCAAAGAAAATGCTGTCATTATTGACACTGATATACTTACACTGTGGTTGCTACTTTATTCTGACAAATAACATTACAACTCACTTGAAGCCCAACTTTGTTATGAACCGTAGAGCGACCATGAACTCAGTTTGCTGATTAATAGAACAGGATCAACTTATGGCATAAGCAGTAGGGATGTCGATGGCCTATGCGAAGAAAAATTAATTTATTGGACCTCATAGTACTATTTGTTTATTCTTTTTAGTGTTTTAGAAGCACGAACCATGAGGAGAACATTCAGTTATACCTTACAAAATGAGTTTCTCAGTTTTTGTTTTTGAAAATTTCATCTGTGACTGCATTGTATTTATATCATTTCCTCTCCTCAAGCTCCTTCCTATCCTCTCTTGGATTCAATAATAATTATAGTAATAATAATAATAATAATAATAATAATAATAATAACCTTTGATCTTGATATTCTTGAGAGTCCACTTGGTGTTGCTCTTACATACATGAGTTTAACGCTGACCACAAGGCATCAGATGACTTACCAGTGGGGCTTGTCACTGAGTAAAATCGACTCTCCCACTGTTAGTAGCCCTTGCATATGTTTCCATGTACTGGTGTCGCTAATACTACATTCTTCCCAAATCCATTCATTTAAATGCTGAAATAAAGAAAAAACATGAAATTGAGGGCAGAAGTGATGTATTTAAAACCCACGCCTCTGCCACACCCCCCTCCAAAACGTATTTCTGGGGTTCATGTTGAACAAACTTCCTGAATCTTAGTGAAAGCTGAATGGGGGATTCATGTTAGTTCTGAGGAGTTGTATGTATGTTCTATTTTTAGTAAAGTTATTCATAACACCTGATGATGAAGTTGAATGTGTGGTTGCTAAGTAGGGGTTGGACGTCACCTCCCTGGGCATATGATTAACTGGGAACTGTCATTTGCTCTGCTGTGAATTGCCACCAAGAGCTGAGTCTGTCGCAGGTTCTGCAGTCTGTGTTTAAAATTTGCTTCCCTCATGTTAATTATCCTCAAAGTGCCCTGTTCCACATAAAGTAATTGAAAAGTCAGCAACTCTTTTTAGTTCAAGAACTTTGATTTACAAAAAAAGAAAGAAAGAAAGAAAGGAAGGAAGGAAGGAAGGAAGAAAGAAAGAAAGGAAGGAAGAAAGACAGAAAGAAAGAAAGAAATTGTGTCTTCTTACCTACATGATATTAAGGAAATAGAATTTTGAAATGGAAGGATTTCTTTGCTTTTTTAATATGTCAGTTTTTCTGTTCATTTTTCTCTTTGAAATCAGAAAAAAAAACCCTGTCACTAATTATCTTGATAGCTGTCACCTCGATAATGAGACAGACCACACTTCTCAGGATGGAGTTAGGTGTGAAACAAAGTGTGTAGATTTAACCACTAATGGAACATAATGAGAAATGGGAAACCCAAAGCCTGAAGCTGTGAAACAAACTTAAGAGTACTTCTTTATTGATAGTAACGTGCACTTCAAGCTACAGAAATAAGTATCTGTTTCGCAATCGTCAGGCTTTCCTTTGTATAGAACAACCAGAGAGAGATTGGAGAGTGGGCAGTTCAGCTCACCATCAGCAGATATCAACTAAAGAAGACACTTCTTTTTTTTTTTCCACGAAAGTGTATTATTTCCTTTGAAATATTAAAAGAGATGATGAGAAGCTTTGTTTTACATATTTCATTGCAGAGGTCCATTTCTCAAAGTGAGCTGATGTTGACCACCTCATTTAGAGTATATCCTGACCTTGGGAATCCATATGACAGGATTACAGCTGTGAAAATCCTGGTTAAGGAATTAGTATTGTTGAGTGAGCTAGGAAATATGTTATCGTTAAACCTCTTGGGAATATTTTTAAATGAGATTCTAAATCTTTTTGCGTGTCTTCCTCTTTGCCTAAATGCAATTCCACATATGGAAATGGTTAATTGAATTGAGAAATAAATGTGTTTACTGGTAATTGCTTAACCTTTGAATGGTAATTACAATTTTATATTCTTATAGGATTATTTAACCATTCACAAGTATGGCAATGCAGCCAGAAATGATCTTTGGAATACATTATCAGAGGTAAAGTAGAGGAAGCTGAAATATCAAAGTATGCTCTTGAGCAACTGAATTTTGTTTCTAAAACATTCACCTCGACAGTTTGTATTTACTTTGTATAATTCTTCTTTCTTCATACTGCTTTGGTGCTTTTTATGTACTATAAAGAAGATCAGACTTAAAATTATTTGAATCACAAATGTTGGCTAAAAATGCCTTGTCTGTTTTCGAGAGGGACATTATTTTTAATTAATTGATGTTATAAATGTCTATAATCTATTTTAGTCATCAAACATGCCCTCTTCTCAAATGGGTCCTCTGTTCTTCACATCATGATCCCATGTCCATTTCGTGTGTTGCTTTTTAAAATCTCACTCACTGTTGCCAGAGTGTGAGTTGGTGTACGACCATCTGTATGTTGCAGAAAAGCATGGGAATCCCTTCAGGGGCCACATGCTTGCAGAAAATTTACTCATCTTCTCCCACTGGTCAATAATTTCCAGTAGCTCCTCTGCCTCCAGTTGAGGTTTGTGATTCCTCTCTGCAGTCCACATTGAGATTTTAACTCGTATGATCTTCCACAGGTTTTGTGCATGAAGCATGACAATACTTTTGAATGATATCTTAATGTGGTATGATAGAGTCATGTTAAAGAAAGAGAAATGTTAGAACTTTTAGAAAATTTTTGCTACATGATTCTAGACCTATCAGGAACACAAACTAATGCTAAAGTAACAATAACTCACATTTTATGTTCTGCAATGTAAAATTTTAACTTTTAATAAAACATATATATATATATATATATATATATACATGGAACATAACTATATAGAGCTCTCAAGGCAAAAATTAATGTCACTTAGTACATAATGTTAGCTTCACTGATTTTAAATCATTTCATATTAAAGTAATGGTAAAAATGAAACAGATTAATGTTAACTATGCTTACGAGAAGTGTTAATAGATTAATTTATACAATTTTTGGTTGTAAAGGCTTTAAAAAGGAATGGAAAATACGTGAACATACAAGAAGTAATGGATCAGTGGACACTCCAGATGGGGTATCCTGTTATCACCATCCTGGGGAACATGACAGCAGAAAATAGAATACTTATCACCCAACAGCATTTCATTTATGACGTCGGTGCCAAAACCAAAGCACTTCAACTTCAAAATAGCAGGTACCACCACACACTGTGATTTCTAAATGTCGCTTTGCATTTTAGTATTTTAAATTGTTGAGGCATGTTTTGTATTTAAAACTTTTGAGAGAAATACTTAATAATTTTTGTTAAGGAAAATTTAAAATATAAATGGAATATTATTTTTAATCTGTTTATTGGCCATTTCATTGTGATTTTTCTTTTGTTGCTATTTCTTCAAGATTCTAAAAACTATTTAATTCAATAATTCAATAATTTATTTAACACGTATGATGTGTTGCCTGTTTGTTTGTCTGTGCACATGTGAATACCTAGCATCCAGGGAGGCCCAAAAATCCTTGGGTTTCCTAGAACTGGAGTTACAGATGGTTTTTATATGCTATGTCAGTACTAGAATTCAAACCTGGACATTTGAAAGAGAAGCTCATGTTATTAACCATTGAAGCTTCTCTCTATCCCTACTTCAAGATGTTAACTTTCGCCTTAGCAGCATTTATTTCAGAAGGCAGAACTTTGAATTAATATGGTGACTTTCAAAAGATAAGGTTTAAGTTTTCTCTATGAATAGTTCTTGAATTAAATTCAATAGTTAAAACATGTTGTCATGAATTAAGTGGAATTGAACAAAATGTGCCTTACAAGACAAATGAGAGCTGAAACCTAACAATGCAGAAAAACTCATTAAACCAAAGTTCTGTACTTAATAATGCATGAGTTAAAGGAACATAATCCAGACCCTAAAATACTCCAAGCTTTACTGGGGTCATGTAGGATCAACATATGTTCTTTTTCTCTCAATTAGTGTTTGAGCTCACTGGCTAGATATAAAACATACAGAGTTGTTTTCTGTTTGGTGGATTTTCTTTTCAAAATTGGATATCACCGTGTAGCCCAGCTGGTCACAGGCTCACTATGCATTCCTGGCTAGCCTAGAACTTACAGAGATCTCTCTGTCCCAGCCATCATATCTGTCTAGAATTATGATTTATTATTTTAACTTTCTTTGGAAACCCTTATTGGTTTTATTCCATGTTTTCTCTTTTTGTTCCTTATCTTAAAGGATGAGCTGAAGAGAGATAAAATTTTATTAACCAGTTTCATTTCTTATAAAAAGCTCTAATAAAATTGGGCTGCAGGGTTGTACAGGTGGGGGGGGGCACAGAGAGGGAGAGGGTGGAAATTAATAAACACAATTAGAGTTTTTGGTTGAGTTAATTGATTCTCTCTTGTTTCCTTGGAAAATAAGGCATCTGACTTTTATCACTCATGGGTATCCATGAGACCTCAAACACACATTTTACTGTGTCAAGTAAGAGGTCTTGAAATCATTTCCAGATTAGCTTGGTCCAGGAATGGATGTACCGAGCCATGGTTGAGAAATTCTTTTGTACTTTCTGAAGGCTATATAGAGATTTTGACTTAGGAAAGCAGGGACATTATTTTTATTCTTTGTGTGCATGTCTGTGTACATGTGCATGTACATGTGTGTGTGTTTGTGTGTGTGTGTGTGTATGCTCCTGTGTGCCAAACTGCACATGTGGGGGTTAAAGGACTACCTAAGGTATCAGTCATTGCTTTGTATATTGTTTGAGGCAGGGTCTCCTGTTAATCATCATGTATGTTGGGCTGTATGGTCTGGATTCTGTAGTCTCGGCTTTGTGTCTACATGGAGCATTACAAGTGTGTACTATGACTTTATGTGAGCTCTGGGATTTAAACCTAGGTTTTCTTGTTTAGTAAACCTGTTAGCCACTGAGATTTGTCTCCAGCAATAAAGCAGGGACTTAAAGTGCCTTACTCTAGATATTCATTGAGGTTGGTAATCAACTCTCTGGATTCTTGCAATACACATTACCCTACTGCAGTCTCCCTGTGGTCAGAGTGATTGGCAGTGTGTCTACTGTACCCTTTCTGGTCCATGCAGCAGCAAATGCTCCCAGTTACCCTCTCCCTGTCTGCATCCAGGATCAACATTATGAGGCATGAATGCTGGCTTTGCTAGGAAGTACTTTGCTGTTGCAATGTTAGAGAGAGATTATTCCAGGTCTTTGAGAGCTGCTATCTTGACATAGTATCACTGATGTAGAGAAACATATAGGAAACATGAAGTATAACAGGATAAATTTTGAACAAAAAATAATTTTTGACCTATAACACATATTATTATACTAGCTTTAGCCTGATCTTTGAAAAGAAAAGGTAACATCTGGGCTGTGTAAACATACAGAAAGCCAGAGAGCTTTATATCTGCTAGAAGCATACGGAGCTCAGAAACCCTGAGCACTTAACACATAACACATACAGGGATCTGATGCTGATTCAAAACATCACTTAGTCCCAGGAATGATTTTCTATTTAAAAAAAATAATAAAATCTATACTTCAAGTAAACTGTCCTAATTTTATATTATTGATCATTTAATTCTTTGTGATATTCTGGTCAATGACTCAATACCAATTCTATTTGGTATTTGAATAGAGCTTTCTTAACTCTTTACTGTACTATGTATTTCATTGACGTAACAGAACTTGCTCTATACCAAAATTTCTAGTTAAGTTGTGAATATTTTCCAAGCTGAGTTAATTCTTTGTTTTCTTTTTTCCCCTGGTCATATTAAAATATGACTACAACATACTCAAAAGATTTTTAATGAATCTAGTAGTTATATTATTCATACATAGTCCTTGTATTACAGCACAGAAAGATTCTTATATAACTGAAGATTTTGTAAAGTTGGCTGATGTGTGACTTAGCATGACATTTATGCCAGAATCTTGTTACTTAGACAGTTGGACATTTTTTGTGGCATTTTTAAACACACGAAATCACTACTTTGCAATGTTGCATAACGTCCCCTCATATGCCAAGTTGCTTCTTCAAGCTCTGATCTACACGGAATCATATGCACCAACACAGCCAGGTTTCTCTTTACTTCTGAGTTGATGGCAGAACTTTATATGGATCTTTCCTTAATGTTGACACTATCTTTATAAAGAATTCTCTCCTCCCAACAATATATGCACACATATATTCACATATATCCTGCCTTTCTCTAATAATTAGGATTAAATGTTTATTCACTGTAAAATGGAAACCACTGAGGAAGACAGGCAGGCCCAGGGGTTTGGTCATGCTCATTACACAGGCTATTACCTCAGGCGCTCTCTCCTAAAACTTTTCAATAAACTTTTCACTCATACAGTTACTGAGTATGCACAAAATGTCTTGTTACATTTCAGAGTATTTCTTTCTTACTATGTAATTGTTGGCTACAACTATTGCTAAGTACAATGCAATGTTAAAATAGTTTATAATTCAAGAAGACAACAACTTGAAGTAGATAGATTGATGATAAAATTGTTTCATGAATGTCTGGCTACTCATTTAAGATTAAGTTGATATCAGTTCATCTGTGAGTCTAGACCTCTATTTTTATCTTGTGAAGAAGTAAAGGAAACATAATGTTTCTTTTTAATAGGTGAGATTCATGGCTGACCTGCCTGTTGGTGGCTCTTTGACACATCAACTTAGAAATTTCATTTTGGAAACCAGAACATGCAGTGTGTCCTACATTATTCTTTATATAGCTCTAAATTTTCATGAAAACTGATAATTTTTATTCTTTATTCTTTGCTGAGTACTTTGGTTTGCCATATTAATCTCTCTGTAAAATATGTGGATCATGCCTGTCTGATGTGTTAGGCAATAGATGAAATATACAAATGTAGGAAACTACTGAATTGTGTATTAGTTTAATCCAGAAGAAAAGTAGAAAAAAAGCTATTTTTAGACTTTAATCAATAAACAGCTTGACTTGAATTTACAGATTTTAGTTGCCTTTATTTCTAAAATGAAAATCTGTTTTTGCAAGGTAAGTTGTTTTGTGGAAGTTCTTTTGAATTGAAGCTAAAACTTGTAGACACCAAAGCTCCTCAGGGGTACTGGGAAGGTAAGCTTATCTTCTACACATATTGTTTAGGCCTGAGATTTATTTGCTAATTGTTTTCAATGATTTATTGATGGATTGATTATATTTTTCCCAAAAAGAGCAATAGAAACTGCACAGAATGTGTATAGAAAATGCTTGCCTGCTTTTGTTCTAGTGTAGCTGATATGCCTGTTTTTATTCTTAAAGCTTTCTTTTACTTTCCAGTTACCTCTGGCAGATTCCATTAACCATTGTGGTAGGAAATAGAAGCCATGTGTCTTCAGAAGCAATTATTTGGGTGTCTAACAAATCAGGTAAAATATAAATTCTCTCCCAGGGAACTGGGTGCATTCAGATAATTGTTTAGAATCTTTACCTCTGTTTTCAGCTGCTACAAAATGTTAATAAAGACGAATTAAAAAGAGAAAACGGTAACCGTAATCACTTCTGCGAAATTAGGCACGTATGGTTTCTAAATAGCTTAATTTTAGACTGATAGGTAAATATTAAATTTGTTTCTTTCAAAGCAAAAGGAAGTAGTTAGAGTATTAATCTTCTCAGAAGTGTATAAATGTATAATCTAAAATGTAATTGAAATATAATTGCAAGTAGTTGTAGAGTAGGCAGTTTACTGAAGCAGAGACCTCATTTTTAAGCTCACTTTCTGGCTACCTTTTCTTTATCAGGTTGTCTCTATAAAGGATGAAAAAAACAAGATTTCTTTTGGTGTTAGGTAATTGTAGAGCCAGTTGTGGGGACTTAGGAAAGTCATCAAACACCCTCCTAGTTAGAATCAGGCCTCAAGTAGCTGAAAGAAATAAGATTTCATTTTCTTCCTAAAAATCTTCAAATCAGATAGGGAGCTATTTCAATTCACTGTCAGAAAGAAAGCTATTTTTTTTAACCAAATCTATATCCTTCATGCCTGAGTACAATACAGGTGTATTCCATTTCTGTATTCCAATGGCTTGGAGAAAAAGACAAATATCTTTTATGTAACATTTCATTTAGATTTAGATAGTCAAGTGTGATCATATTTGGATTTACTGCTTTCTCACAGACTAATTATTTACATTGTTTTGTTATTTTCTGGGGAGCATTTTAAAATAACAAACCTTTTAATTTTCAGCAAAATCAAGTATACAGAAGCATTGATTTTCTTATAGATGTTTATGTTGTAAGGGATATATATTTTTTAATTTATATATTTTATTTATATATGTATATATAATAAGGATGAATCAAATGATTATGTTAAAATATTTTGGTGTTTTTCGTTTTAAATAAAATGCTTAAATTTTCTTCATTTTCTTTCTTGCAATTGGCATTTATCTTATTGTCTGAGTCAATTCTTATTTATCTTCATAAATCTGTTTTCCACTCTCAGAACTGTTTTATTTATTCATATATTTTATTACAAAGTGCTGATCAAGAACACAAAATTGCCATTATAATGTTGCTACTGTTAACAGTGTATGGCAGAGGATTCCTCAGATACAAAATAAAGTAATGCTTTATTCTTATCACTATACGTTAAAATAAATTATACATTTAATTATGGTAACCAGCCAATGTTTTGTAATTTCATTATCTGTGATGTGCATTTCATTTTTACAACATTAAGGTATGTCACTGGTATGTAATATTCATAAATTTCATCTAGTTTTTCACATGTTATTGACAATTAATTTTAAGCATGCATTGGATGAATAATTAAATCACAGATAAATGCCAATTATAGTAGTCTTAAAGTAGTATATATACCTGTTTTTATATTTTTAAAAGCAGGTTAATATATTTTATATTCTTCCTATGAAAATACAAATAGTCCAAACATTTATGAATATAATAACTTTCATGTTAATTGGGTATTTATGAATGGTGAAAGGAACTAAGAAGAAAAAAATGCAGCACTGAAGATAATTTAATCTCAAATATTAAAAATGGCATAATGTATGGCGTTCCTCCAAAGTTATTTACTTATGACCCACAAACACTGAAAATCAGTACTATCTCTTATTTACGTTCCACAAATGCGGCGATGAAGTCTTGATGAATGCTTGCCCAATGTGCCAATTGTCTAGTCAAGTGAAAGGCTGTTGTTTTGAGCTTGGTTTTCTTTTCTTCCCGTCTTGAACACACACACACAAACACACATATTTATAACAGGTTGAATTGGTGCTCTGTTAGTTGCTCAACACTGTTGGGGGTAGCTTTAATACTACTGCCGTTGCCTGGGAGCAGCCATGCTACAAGCCCCTCTTGGCTTCCCATGTGTTCTACCCACCTTTGTTCCAGGAGGTGACTGCTCTACCAGGTCCCACTGAGACCCTTGAATCCACGGATAAAACAAACACAAAACACACACAAAACACACACACACACACACACACACACACACACACACACACACACACA